GCAATCACACCACGGGCGTCTGGAGGCAGCCCGTGGCAAACGTTTACTAGTCCCTTGGAGGTACTAGTTTTTAAACGCGCATTGTCGGCAGCAAGCCACGGGTGCGCTCCAATTCCCAGATGTTGGGGTGTGATCGTGCCCGGATAATCCGCCCACCATCCGTGCCTCTCCAGCGGCAACTTTGCCGTGTGACCGGGGCCTCTGTGAGGTAGGTCAGCCTGAGAGACAATCATTGGACCAGGGTCACCTGGCGGGGATTTTGAACCCAGGCCCTAGTCTGAGGCTGTAATCACTGTACCACACTGACTCTCTATATTTTGGGATAGTTCTATTTCTAGGATAGGGAGAAGGGTACCCTATTTAAGATGGGGCTTTCCAGTAAACAGGAGCTGCGGTGGCTCAAGTGGTTAAGACGCTGAACTGCAGGCTGGGGAAGGGCAGTAGTTCAGCAGTTCGAGACCCGGGTGCCGCAAGACGGAGTGAGCTCCCGTCTCTAGTTCCAGCTCCTGCCAACCTAGCAGTTCGAAAGCAAGAAATTGCAAGTAGATAAATAGGGACCACTTCGGTGGGAAGGGAACAGCGTTCCGTGCACCTTGGTGTTTAGTCATGCTGGCCGCATGACCACGGAAACGTCTTCGGACAGCGCTGGCTCTTCGGCTTTGAAACGGAGATGAGCACCGCAACCCTAGAGTCGGATTCGACTGGCTTTCGAGCTTTTTTTCCAGTAAACATGTCCAGGATCAGGCACTTGCTGATCCGAGAGGTGCTCGGGGCTCAGGTCTACCTAGCGGAACCATTTAGCTCTGGAAATTGGTCTGCTAGTAAAGGGTGACTCAGTGTGACACAGAAGGACTCTGCACATGTTCAGGTGTGGTTTCTTACGGTGCTCATGGCTTCAGAGGTGATGGGATACGGAGGATTTGAAAATAGGTCCGGGGGCAAAGGATTTCAAATGAAGCTGGTGCGGCAAAGAGCCCAAACACGTAATATATAAATATAACCAGATGCATCGTAGAGAGGAGGTGTATGCTGGCTAGAAGGAACTATGAATCAGCAAGTTCCTAGTGTGTGTCTCACCTTTATCATGAATTTATTAGGTGCCCAAAGGCAATCGATCCTCCTCTCCCACTCCTGTTTGCAAAATGGAACTCATATCAGCCTGCCTTCCAGGGCTGCTTAAAGCACAACATTCAGTATTTTTAAAGTACCATACCAAGTCTTATGATGCTGATCCTGCTTATGCATAAATGCCACTATGTTCAAGGACATTTGCAAGCAAAAGGGTTTAAGAACGCTGCCTTAAAAGTGGAAAATTTCTTTGGCAAAGACAGGGCAGCCTGTAAACACGGTTGCCAACTTTGCTCCTGTGCCATTACTAACAGCCTAAACAGAAATCAAAGGACTGTGGGTAGCTCAGCATTTATTTACATGGGGGGGGGGGAGCCTAATGTGTACATGGTTTACTGCTGAAGGCACAGGAGCAGTAGCCGATTGTGAGAGAGCATGACATGGTACCCGTGGAGCTGAGACACACTGCCTCCCCCCAAAGAACGATTAAGCAAAAGCAAAGGAGCTCTGTTCCTCTGATTTGGCTCATTCTACAAAAGGCTGGGAACTGCGGTGGCTCAAGTGGCTAAGATGCTGAACTGCAGGCTGTGGAAGGTAGGTAGTTCAGCAGTTTGAGACCCGAGTTGCCACATGATGGAGTGAGCTCCCGTCTCTAGTTCCAGCTCCTGCCAACCTAGCAGTTCGAAAGCAAGACATTGCAAGTAGATAAATAGGTACCACTTCGGTGGGAAGGGAACAGCGTTCCGTGTGCCTTGGTGTTTAGTCATGCCGGCCACATGACCACGGAAACGTCTTCGGACAGCGCTGGCTCTTCGGCTTGGAAACGGAGATGAGCACCGCAACCCTAGAGTCGGATTCGACTGGCTTTCGAGCAAGGGAACCTTTACCTTTTTAAACTTACTATTGGATACCAAGTCTTTACCACCTTATTTTGAAATTCAGTTATTGAAACGTTAATTAAATTAAAAGTCATTTTACTTAAAATGGAATAATCGCGGACAGCGCTGGCTCTTCGGCTTGGAAACAGAGATGAGCACCGCAACCCTAGAGTCGGATTCGACTGGCTTTCGAGCAAGGGAACCTTTACCTTACAAATGGCTAGGTTTTTTTTAAAAAAAACTCAAGCATAGCTACTCGCGAGTAAGCCTCGTCGCAATCCCATCCCAGGAGGTATGCTTCAAGACCCACGTGGATGATTTCGGCATCAGAGGTCGCGATCTCCGCCCCACTTGCTCGCGAGGAAAGAACCTTCGCCGAAGTCAAGGGGACTGAAAACAGAAGCAACCCTCGAAGCGTATCCACAATGTGCGATTTTTACGGCCATAACTCAGCGCGGGAGACTCCCGAGTCGACCACGCGTCACCCCGAGTCCACACGACCGCCAGTCCCGAAAGCACGCGTCCTTGCAATACAGTCGGATGCCGCAGAAACGAACGAGGCTTTTTAAACCGCGGCTTGCACTTCGAAGGTGCTTTTTTTTTTTGCGCGTGAAAAACCGGCGACGATTTAAAATAGCAAGAAGTCAAAACTACCCCAAGGCTTGCTTTTGAGGGCGCCTGCGCGCAGCTTCTCCTGGGCGGGCATCTGCATTTTATTATTGTGATCGGGGAGGGTTTTCCCCCCCCTCCTTTTGGGAGGAGGGCGGCAGCTGCGGCGGTTGTCAGCCGGTGTGTGTGTATCCTGCTGGCCACCGGAGGCTCCGTTCCCGGGAAGCTTCCCGGCCTCCAGCTTTTCCCACGCTCCCGCCCGGGCCTGGCAAAGACGCCGCTGCCTCTTGCTGCCCTGCTTTTATTCCTTTTTCTGCTGGGGGGGGGGGATCTGCCGCCCTCTCTCTCGCTGCATTCATTTATTTGTGTTTGTGTCTCTCCCTGCGTGCGCGCGCGCGCGCGCTCCCGTGTACAATCTGACTCCTAATAATAATAATAATAATCAGCGTTCCCTCTAAGCTGAGTTAGTGTGAGCTAGCTCACAGTTGTTCAGCCTCCAGCTCACAGATTCTTGTCTTCGCTCAGGAAGGAGGGCTCCAGAGCCAACTAATTGATGCAGTCGCCAAATCGCTCGCTCACAAATTTCATGCCAGGAGCTCACCAGAGTAGAATTTTTGCTCACGGGACTCCACGGCTTAGAGGGAACATTGATTAATAATAATATAGATATGTTTTAAAAACCCACCCCGTTTCCTCCCCCAGCTTTGCAGCCTTCTCCCCCCCGCCGTGCAAAACAACAACACTACACACACACACACATAACCATGATTCATAAATACAGCAAAGAAATGAAGGGGGGGAATGCCAAGCCCGGGGAGGGCGCTGCTGCTGCGGCTGCGGCGGCGGGGGGAGGCTCCACGCAAAGGCCGGCCTCCGCTGCTGCAATCGGGAGGTGGGGAAAGAGGAGGAGGAGGAGGAGGATTCCTGCGGTGGAAGGAAAGCGCCGGCGAGGCTTTTTCGTCGTGCTCTTCTGCTCCCCGCCCCGGGTCTCTCTCCCTTCGCCCGGCCCACGTCGAGGCGCTCCCGAAGCGGCCGCTTGCATTTGGGCAGGGGGCGGCGGCGAGGGAGGCGGCGAGCGGAGCTGGTGACCTTCAGCGGCCGGAGCCTTCCCCAGCGCATCCCCGCCGCCGCGGCTGCAAGTCCGGGGGCGAGAAAGGCCGAGCGGAGAGGCGAGCAGGGCGCGCAAGGAAAGGGCCTCGCCGTGGCCAGACGCTTCCTCGCCTCCCGTCCGGAAGGGATTTCCACCACCCCCTCCTTGCAACAGGATCTTGGCCTTGACGGCATCCGCTGCTGCTGCTTCTTCTTCTTCCAGCCTCTCCTCGTTGCAATGGGGAAGCAGCGGCGCCCCGGGAAGGCAGCGCGGAGCCAGGCGCGCTGAGACGCGAGCAAGCTGCGTTGGGGAGAAGAAGAGGAGGAGGAGGGGGCGCGCTCGCTCGCTCGCTCCTGCCCGTGCTCTCCTTTTTTTGGAAGGCGCCTGGGAAAAGGAGGAGGGGGCGGCGTGGGGGAAAGCCCTCCGGCTCGCCGGGCCTCCATTCATTTCGGCGTTCCGCGTTTTGCGTCTCTCCGACGGGCCGAGCCGAGAGGCGACGAGAAAGCGGCGGCGGGGAGTGGGAGAGCCCCGGGAAAGGCTTCGGGTGCCTCGCGCACGCCGCGCGCACCGAGAAGGGAGGATTGGAAAAAAACAAACCCGGGGAGCCGCGCTGCGGAATAAAGAACAGGAATCGGGGGAGGCGATAGAATAGATATTTTTTTGCATTTAGAAATTTGCAAAAAAAAAAAAAAATTGCATTTAGAAATTTGCAAAAATAATAATAAAATAAATTCATTCTAGGGGTGCCTCGAAGGGGTGCTCCTCTCTCTCTCCCCCCCCCTCCTCCCCGTCGCTTCGGTTTTTTTGCAATCTGGTGGATCCGTGTGAATTAATCGCCGCGTCTTCGGCGCTGTGTTTTTGTTTGGGAGGGGGAGGAGGAGGAGGCGGCGGGGGGGGGGCCAAGGCAAAAAGAAAAGATGGAGGTTGAAGATGCGGACTGTTTGTTCCAACGTGCTTCGTGCTGGCGACTCCTGGATCCCCGCAGGCCACGCTGAAGAGCCGCCCCGGCGACCTTTCTCTCGCCTCCGTGTAGCCCTCCTGGAAGGAGGGGGCTGAGCCAAGCAGGGGGGGGGGAGAGAGAGGCTGTTATTTTGCAAGCAGCAAAACAAGGCTCGGGCGCCCCCCCTCCCGCCTCGGGCGCATCCAGGGGGGGAATCGGGAGGGGAAAAAAACAACCTACTCCCAAAGAATCGTGCCCTCCTCTCCTCCTTTTGGAGAGGGGGGGTGGGGGACACTCGCATTTCTCCTCTCCGGAATTGTGGCCTTTCCTCCCCTGGGGAGGGGAAGAAGATTGGAAGACTTTCCGGGATTTATTTATTTGTTGTTGTTGTGTTTTTTTGCTGATATACAAAAAAAAAAAAAAAAAAACCCAGAGAGAGAGGCAATTTTGGGCCAGATTTCACAAAAGAAGAGGAATGAAGGCTGGCGTCCCAGGAGGGTCCTTTTTCGGGGGACTTCTGCTCGTTTTAGCCGCGACCTGCTTATGGCCAGCGAATGGGAAGAGTAAGTATTGTGTATTTTTTGGTGGTGGTGGGGCTGGGGGAGTGTTGTTTCCTTTGCCTTTAATGGGAGTTTATGGGGAACCCCCCCCCCGGCGTGGGGGCGTGGGTGGGTGGGTTACATTACATTTCAATGACTTGCAAGGGTGTGGGACAGACTGATTGAAAATGCTGAAATATCTCCTTTACGCCTGTTTATGTATCTATTTTAGAAGGGCTTTAAATTTTTTTGGGGGGGGTGATTTTCATTTCTCCCCCTATTTTTTTTTAATTGGGGAGGGGGAGAAAGGGGTCGCTCTGAAATGCCCACGTTTGCCTACATTTTCAGGGGTGTCCCCCAGATTTTAATTCTTGACTTGGCGTTTCTGGCTTGTCTGGGAAAGAGCTCTCTGTACTGCGTAGTAAACATTTGAGAAGCAGAGAGAGGTGCTGGCCGCGGTCTTCAGATAAGCCACATTTCAGTCGCCCCTGGAACCTTGGGAGGAAAGAGAGGAAATTGTGAACATAGAATGCATCTTGTTTTATTTTAATTTCTCCCCCCCCCAAAAAAAAATCAGGGCTGGCTGGCTTTGATCTTACAAGAATGCGCCCCATCCCCCCCCCCCCCCCAAGGATCCAGGCTTAAGGCTGTAGGGAAGAAATGTGGATTTATGGATGTTTGGGGAAAGGTTAGTCTGAAATGATTTAAGGCAACCAGAAGGACCGACAGATGAACGTGTAAACAGCTTCTGGGAAAGATGCTTCTTCTCCCCCCCCCCCCTTGGGGGTTTGTTTTTTTTTTGTGTTTAAAACGTGTGGAAACGTGTGTGCCTCTGTGTGTGTGTGTGTGTGTGTAAGTTCTGCCTGGCGAAAAACGTGGCTCGTGGTGTGCGCGCCTCTGCTGGTGCCAGTTGCGCTGTAAATGGTTAAAGTCTACGGCTTGGACAAAAGATGTCTGGATTTGGATGGGGTGGTTTTTTTCCCCCTGTTGCCCTTTCTCTTCTCCCTAGCATCGCAGCAGCTCAGGTCCTGGTTTTTTTGGGGGGACGGCTCCTAATTTCAGTCGATGAAAGGGGGTTCCTCTGCTCTCTGCCCGCCCACTTGGATTTGCCGGAGAACTGGAGAGTTGTATGTGGTGGTGGTGGTGGTGGTGGGGCTTTTGCACGGCCTCTCCAAACGTGACGGCATAAGTAAATACATTCAGGTTCTCCCACTCCTCTTCCTGATCTGCTGCTAATTCTGGGGCGTTTGGCGGAAGTTTCTTCTCTCTTGCCTCCCCATTGATTTATTCAGCCTCCCCCCCCCTTCAGAAGAGAGTGGGGTGTGTGGACTGGGCTTCCCATTCAGTGGGACAATTTTAACTGGGGGCTCTTGGCGTCCTTATGTTTATCTCCTAATGCCTGGGGGCAGGGTGAAGCGTAGTGACAGATCCTACAAATTGTATGCTTAAAAGGAGGAGAAACACACACACCCCCACCAACTAGGGGGTTAAAAAATAAAAGTCAAATCAAAGCTTCCTTCCACTTGTTAATTACCAAAAATAATGTGGGGGGGGGGAAATCCCTTGTAAGTAGGAGAAGAAATCTCTTTTGTTTGGGCCGTGTTTTATTTTAGGGGATCAGGGTTTTGTTGTTGTTGGTTCAGAGTGGAAAGGTGGTCTGAAGATTGAGTAGGTTGTTGGCAAGGATTTGGGGTTTCTCTCAATGTCTCTTAATGACCAGGAGGCAAACATTTGGGAAATAAAACTGGATTTGGAAAGTGTAATAACTCCCCCCCCCCTTCAAAAGCAGCAACAAGAAAACAATGTACAGGGGTGGGGAAGAGCAAAAAAGCCACCCCCCTTTATTTTTCTATACAGGTTTGAGAGTCTCCTAAAATTTGGCCAGATGGGATTCTCCCCCCCCCTCCCCATTGTAATAAAGGCTTAGATTTTACTGACCTGTTTTCTGTCTGTCCTGAATCTTCTTCCTTAAGAGTAGTGTTTATAGCTTTAAAAAAGTGAGTGGGGTTTTTTTTTTACAATGGATCCCTGTTAACATTATTCCTTTTGGGCTGTGGAACTGACCGATTCATTCTAGGTGGCGTGGTTCGTAAACTGAGCTCTGGATATGTAAGCCTGATAGAAAACATAGCTTGGAATCTGTCTGGAAAAAAATAGTTTGTGTGCTGGGGGTGGGTGGGAAATCCCACCTCTTTTCTCCTGGTTCATTTGTCTCAATCTGAACTACAAGGTCTCTGAAGCTACTCCGTCCCCAGTGCTCCTCCTCCTAGTAGCAAAAATAACATTTAGTTTTAATTTGTGTGTGTATGTTTTTGAAACATAGAATGTGTCGTAGTCTAAAAGGCTCTTCCATTTTCGGTCATAAAAAGCCATGCATTCCTAAATAGGAATACACAAGGTTTGCAACTGAGATTGGGGAGGGGGTGAGGTGGGAGGAAGCTCGATTTCTTTAATATACTTTGATTTTCAAGTTTCTTTAGGTGTGCTTGGTAGGCAGAACAGTTGTTTAAAACCCAGTGTCGGAAAAGGAAGGGTCCACTGTTAGAAACCCCTGGAACGGAAAGGTCGATGGAAGCAAGGAATGTTTTCAATTGCATGTTAGGAGATCTTTACGTGCCACTCGAACCGGTGGGTGGGAGGCCTCCTAGAAGGGTTCCCTGAAAACAAGATGGCTTTCTGTGTGGACTCTGAACTTCAATCCCCTTCTGGTCTTTAAGTGGCCGCTAAAGAGCTCCGTCTTCCCCTTCCAATCCATTACACTGTTGAAAATACAGGCTGGTTTGAAATAATAACCCCTCCCCAACCCCACCCAGGGGTCAGTCTTGGTGGTGGGATTGGGGGGGGGCTATCTCAAGCTGTATTTGATGTCCTCCCATTGTGTTCATAGGCTGCATTTGTTCAGCTAGCTCCCTGCCTAGTTGTTTTTTTCAAAAGAAATACTCTCTCGTAGTTGTAAGTATTCACTGTGTATAGTATCAACATCAGTATCTCTTAATGGCCTTGCTGATAAAGAAAATATGGTTAGCCAGAGAGACGTCTTGTGTAATTGAGGTACTTGAGTGTAAAATGGTTTCACTAGTAAAAGAATTAACCTGCCAGCGAGATGCCTGGGTGAGGCAAGGGGTTGGAATAGCAATTTGGCAGTCATTGATAAGAGGCTACATCAAAGGTCTGCCGAAAACAAAATGTAGCTCTTGTGTTGGTTCTAGTGACTTTTTAGTTCTTGTGAGTGGTCTGGTTCCGCTGGCTAGTTGAGTCTGTGCGTTCTTGGCCTTAATTCAGATGTGGCTGCCGTGAAACAGAGCAAAACAAAGGTTACAGAAATCATTACGGTATTAGGATATTTTGGATTTCTGTAATCCTGCTCCCATTCCATGGTTTATCAGGTGCTGCATCGTGTTGACTGTGTTTGACCTTTGCTATTCAAGAATCCACCTTGAGTCTCAGTGAGACTACAAATAAAGAAAAACGTGGTAAAGAGAGTAAGAGTGATTGTACAGAGACCTAGGGGAAGGAGAGAAGGAAATCCTGTTTAAAAAAAAAAATTGAGGAAGGAAGAAAGGCACTTCCTTTAGGGAGCAAGCCTAAGTAGGTCTCCTCGGAAGCAAATTCCCATGTTATTCAGCGAGGCCTGTTTCCAGGAAGACAGCTGTAGTCTTTTGAGGTGCCACATTACCCTTTGCGGACTTTATCTTCCATTGCAATAGCCTTGCGAGGGGCTAGTATTGCTGCTAGGGAAAGCTCAACAAATAGCTGGAAAATCTTGTAATCGTACCAAAACACAACAGGTGAGAGGGGAAGTGTGCTCTATATTTGCCCGGGGACCATGAGGCTAGTTTTAGGGCGACTTGAGAGGGAGAGAGTCTATGTAAGCGATTGAGTAGTAAGGAAGTTTCAGAGAGTATTTGAGTCCAGTAGCACCTTAGCAACCAGCTTGATTTTTTGGAACAGATTTGGAGTCCAGCGGCACCTTTAAGACCAACGAAAGCTCATACCTTGACTAAGCCTTTGTTGGTCTTAAAGGTGCCACTGGACTCTTAACTTTGTTCTACTGCTTCAGACAACACAGCTGACTACCTGGATCAATCTTCATAGATTTTCTGGAGTATCTGACAAAGGGAGTTTTGACTATCGAAAGCTTAACCCCCCCCCCCCAATCTTGTTGAGTAATTTGATCTCGAAGACTTGAGACTGCTGATGTGGTGCTAGGTGGAGGCGCCTCGGACAAGAGGAACCAAAAACGTTGCCACGACACTTCCGCAGGTCGTAAATCCTGGTTCTCTGCTTGGTTGAAGAACTGGTTCTAAGTGGTGATGCCTCCCAGAATAGGTTTGGTTGAAGGAAATGGGCCTTGCTCGCAACTCAATGGGGTTTTTTTTTTGGGGGGGGGCTGAGTATTTGAGCAGATCCTTCTTGCGATTGATCGTCTTTTGCTCCTAAAAATAGAAGTGCCACCGAAACACCGTTTGAAAGGGAGTTGTCAGAAGTTACAAGCCATTAAAAAAAAACATTTCCCCACGCAGCTTGGTTGTTTGGTTACCTGGAAGAAGTTCTCAACTTGGCACAGGTGGGCTGCTGTTTACAAGGTTGCCCGGGAATCAGCAGAACATGTGTAGGATCTGTGTGTTCATCAGCCGAAGCTGCGTTTCTTTGCTGGATTGCGAGGCAGTTGATTGAAAACGATTTTTGCATGAGACGCGTAGGCTGGCGCTCTGTGCTTTAGGTTCTTTTTATGTCCTCCAAACAGATGGAAATAGATTGATTTGAAATATACATTGGGGAAGAAGCGATCGTGACCCCGGGCTTCGTGGAAGCCATGCGCCTGCAACGTCCCATGTTTAGAGTTGATGATCGAGACATTCTGGTTATAACTTTGGGACTTGGCATTAAGTCAGTCTTGTTATGCTCTAGCAAGTTGTCTTTTTTTTTTGGAGGTGTAACACAATACTTTCCAGGTTTTTCCAGATGGTGGGGCTTTCTGTTTTGGTCAGGTTGGAAGGGGAAAACCCCACCGATCCTATGTA